GAGCACAGGAAGAGTTGGTGGGAGCCCCCAGCACTGGAATGATGCTGAGAACTTGACTACCCAGATGAATGAACTGGTAGTGCCCCCAAGGTAGTGCCTCTGCAAGCCAGGGGCCTCTGAAAGGCAAGTCCCAGTGCACTCCTGGAAGAGGGTTTCTAACTTCTGAATCCGCTGGAGCACTTATATATCTTTTATGCTGTGTATGTCTTTTTTTTGGTTATAGTCATTTGAGACAGGTCTTATCTATTAATCATAAAGTAGTTGATCTTATTCCTCTTTCTACCTATTCTGTCCTTCCTCCGCCCCCAGTAAGAAGTTTGTGCTGAGTGGTACTCAATATCTTTTATTACTGAATTGAATTTGTTGCAAAATATTATAGGCTTACTTGATATTTTAATGCAGCATTTTATTCCACTGCTCTGAAATGCACACATATGCAGGCAAAACAAAAACAAAGAAACACTGCAATAGTAACATGTTGGTGAGATGTCCCATGACACAAATTGGTACATACAGGAAGCACAGTGAATTCATGTTCTCCTTCAAACTTTCTTTTTCTTGTTCCCCTAGCCTTGGGAGTCACTGACTACATGGGGGAAAAAAGTCTCTATTTTCACTTTTGAGAGCTCACCCCACCCACAGAGTTTTATAAATCAGCATGGAACAAATGTTTTAGGCATGCGTAAAGCATTTTCTGTTTGGTTTTGGATTTTGTTTTGTTTTTAGATAGAGTCCACAAGTGTACATCATTTAAAAGTGTAATAAAATCATAAATTCGAAAGATTATGCCACCTAGATTAGTCCCATCTGTGATTTAACTTATTGTTTACTATTTTGTATTAATTGTGTCTTTGAAGTCAGGCTAAATTTGAAATTTTATTAAAAGATCCCTTCTCTTGAATGCATAGATTGGGGTAGCTGTTTTATCCAGTTGCTGTGTAGAATTAGTATTTACTGGACAAGATGTGTTGATTCAGGAGGTTGTCTGTGGAGTGTTTGCCCCGTGAGGGTCATATTAAACTTGAGAGAAGCTTTTTGAGCAACATAACATCTTGGAGACAATATATCAAGCTGATGGATATGGGGCTCTTCTGTTAAGAAACCAGCAGTGGAATTATGGCTGCCTCCCAGTTATTGCTTTGGTGCTAAGGAGCCTCTGAGGAGTAGATCTAGGATAAAAGGGGTTAAACAGAGGGGAAAGGAAGGTTTCCAGAATTCAGTGTTACTGAAAGTATACAGAATGTGTAGTTACATATACATAATTTAAGATGATCATCCTGTTTGAAGGTATTTTACAATTTTATATAATCCTTGTGTGACCAATTTAAGAGAGCATTGTGCATCTTCTTACTCAGAAGAGAATCCATTATACTCTATTATTATTATGGTGCTAAATTTTGGGTACTCCTTCGTTCTTCCTTAATTGTACAGCAATGTTGTTTTAACACATGAAGTGGTTTTTGTGTGCCTATTAAAAATTCTGATCTTTTTACGTTGATGACTTATCAGAACTAATTTTCAGTCAGAATTTGAATTGTCAATGGGATTATAGTCCTTGATATAGAAAAATTAGACAAAAATAATCCAAGTGAGAGACATGGTTTCATATGTTTCACATTGTATGCAATTTGCATTTTACTGTTGCCCATGTTTTCAACAGTACTCTTTTTTATATGTGTACACTTGTTATAAATAAATTAAATAATATATATTAAATCAGAAATCATTATTGTTTAAAACTATTTGTGTTCACAGATTAAATAGCAATTAAAAAATCTTTAGCAGTGAATGTACTTCGAAGCAAAGATTTAGAGTTGTTAGTGGGTAGTTGGCCCTGGCCAGCAATTTATTGCAATTGCTGGTCACACCACACTTCTACTAATGGAGAGAATAATTTCATATCATTTCCTCTCTCTTCAAACAACCAATTAATCCTCATACTTTGGCACTGAGCTGATGCCTTTACTTTTATTTTGCTCACTGAGAAACCAGGCACCATCAAAAGAGATCTCTGTTATTTTGCTATCACTGAATCTACTCACTCCCTTTCACCTCAGTCTCTGTCACACAGTCTCAGTCACTTCCACACAATGGGGAAACGCTTCCTGCTGTATCTAGCAGCCAGTGTGCACTGACTCTCAATCAATTCTCATGTGTATTGACTCGCCTCTTTCTCCCTACACAAAAACTTTACTCTGGCAATTATTCATTCTTCTACACTATCATTTGCTCCATTCTCCACTGAATCCTGCCAATAAGTGTGCACATAAGCTGCAACATCTCCCAATCTTTAGAAAACTTCCTTTGACTTCATGAGCTTCCCTAGTTGCTGCTCCATTTTCTACCTCCCTTTGGAATAAATTTCCCTAAAAGAGCTGTCTAAGCTCACTGTATCTGCTCATTGACCTCTCATTTTCTTCTCAACCTTCCCTCATCAGACTTCCATGCCCACCGCTGCACTGCATCTACACATGGCATGGTCATCAAACACCTACTCTTGGCCAAACACCTACAAAGGGAGTGATGATTAACTCCCTTTTTCCTTAAACTCTTAACACACTTGACAGCTGATCAGCCCTTCCTTTTTTACATGCTTTCTTTACTCTGTGTCCAGTAAGAACCTTCTGTTAGTTTTTCCCCTACCTCACTGACCACTCCTTCTTAGTCACTTTTTCCTTAGAGGCCTCCTCCTGACCTCAGAATTTTGGTAGATTCCAGAGTTGGGTTCTCAGACCTCTCCTATCCTCACTCTATCTACATTCATTCTCTATTTCACTAAGTCTCAGCCTTTAAATATCATATATACATTGACCCACAACTATTTAGACCCACAGACCCATATTTGCATTTCTGCCTTGTTATCTTTACTAAAGACATGTACCTCTTACTTGCAGCATGGACAATACAGAACCCTCAAACCACTCTATAACCTATTTCTCCCTCAGTGCTTCTCATCTCAGGATGACACCACCCGTTACCTGTGTTTGGGCCGAGAACACTGACCTTATCTTTGACTACCATATATTCTGTTAGTAACATACTCCACATTCAACTGAACAGCAAAATATCCCACCACCTCCACTACTCTCATTCAAACCCAAGTCACTGTCATCTGTGACCTGGATTACTACAGTAGGTGTTTCCCTATTTTCATTCTTGTCTCTTGCCCCCATTATCACAGACTGATCTGTAGTAAGTTTAGAATTAGATCGTGTCATTTCCTTTATTAAAACCCTGTATTGGTGCTTAGCCCTACATAGACTCTAAAGCCTTTATTGTTACTTTCAAGATGTAGACTCTTGCCTACCCCTCCATCCTCTTTTCTTTCCCTTCTCCTCTTTACTCACTATGCATAAGCCACACAACCTTTCTCCTGTTTCTTAAACACAGCCAGGGCTTGCTTCTGGAGAGCATGAACTGCTCTTTCTGGTAGATTGCTCTTCCTCAAGACATTCTTATAGCCACCTATCTCATGTCATTAAGTCTCTGCTCAAATATTGCCAAATTATATGTTCTTATAATCTTCTTATCTAATTCAAATTGTTACCTAATACTAAAACTGCACACCCCTTTTCACTTTCTCCTCCCTTATCCTGATTGATTTTTCTCCAGAGCACTTATGGCCATGTGGTATCATTTTCTGTACAGTTCTTGTTAAACCTCCCATTCCTACCACTTAAATATAAGCTACATAGGGGCAGGGACGTTGTCTATATTACTCATTGCTGTTCTCTCTCCACAAGAAGAACACTATTTAACACAGAGTGGAGCACAATAAATGTATATTGAAAAAATGAATTCATTATTGATGAACTCAAACCTTTACAACAGATTGATGACACATGTAATGCAAGTCTTCCATTCTTACCACAGATCGTTCATTAGCCTCGGCCACAGTTAGGTTCTTCTATATTGGTGAGTACATCATCCTACACATACTACACAAGGTTATGTATAAAAGAGAGTTGAAAATGGACCCTGATATTTTGTTGGTTTTCATTATTTTTATCACATCTTCTTCACCAATGGCCTCTAGTAATTTGAAGTCATTAGGAAGCCATATTAGAATAGTCAGAACGTTCCTAACAAATTATACTATAGTAGCAATTAAGTTATGCTTAAGGGAGTTCAGATCAGCCCAAAGTAAAAGTAATAATGATGATAATAATAATAATAATGATAATGATAATAAACTAGGATAGGCTTTAGTTATATTCATTCCTATCAGGTCTTGAAGGATGATTCAAACAGATCCTCCTGGTAGTTGTATTCAGCAGGTATGCTAAATTCAGAACAGATTTGCAGAAGATTCAGCTATGCTAGAAAAAGCTACATGTGTGCTCCAACTTGCAGCATAATTACATAAATGTAGGGGCACTATGAGAAGGGATAACTATGTAAAACACATAAGGAAAAACGTTTTTTAATTTTCATGGGTGAGCATTAAGGCTGGAATATGCTCTTTCCAGCCATTCATGCTTATTTACCATTCCAGGAGGGAAAAAAAAAATTAGCAAACTTTTTTTTCTACAAAAGAAGAGGGAAAAAGATCAATTGTGTTCATGTATAATGGTGTGACTATGATGGCAAAGGCTGATAGAGATGGAAAGAGTGTAAGGTTGGGACTGCTTCAGTGTTCCATGGCTTGGTCTATTGCACAAAGAGTTAAATTAAAAAGGTACTTTAATATTTGCTTCACTAAATTCCCTCCATGTTTTCAATTAGATAAACAGAAGTACAGGTGGGAATGTGCTGCATATTCATTTGTCTTGCTGTTTGGGGGCTGGCTTTTAAGACTGAAATACTAATGTAATTGTGTTGAAATGAACAATAAGGAAGTACAGTAGTTCAGGAATGAAAATGTTAAATTAAATGGACCATGTTTAACATTGTTGTTGATCCTGAGGAACAGTTTTTCCAGTATATGGAGCATTTCGATTCCATCCAGCATATGTTCTCCACAGTTTTCTCTGCTCTAATTCATCTGTGTTTTTCGACAGCTCCAGATGGCGTGCTGCCTCCCAGGCTTTCATCTGCCACTCCAACCAGTCTTCAGGTTGTCTGGTCTACACCAGCTCGTAACAATGCTCCCGGCTCTCCCAGATACCAACTCCAGATGCGGCCTGGCGACTCCACCCATGGATTTCTAGAGTGAGCATTCTACTTTGTCCACCCCCTCAGCTGGGTTATACAATGTAGACATAACATTTTTGAGGAATAGGCCAGTTCACATTGGCAACAAACTTAGGTAGCTTTTTAAAGTTCAAAAAGCAAACAAACAAATAAACAGCAAACAAACTAGAGGATAATTATTTGCCTTGCATTAATATCTATTTGTTATTTACATAGCATTTACAGTGAGAGTTCTTCACACTGAACTTCTCTTGAACACATGCATTGCATAAAGCAAGGACATACTTGAAACTAACAAAATGCTCTCTGAACTATAACTTGAAAATTATAATACCTACTCCACAAATCAATATGGCAATCAATCTCAATACTACTAGAATTTACATGTCATATAAACACAAGATTACAAGTCCTCAGTCAACTGGCCACTTATTTTAAGAGATCTCATTTGATGGCACAAAATTGTAGTACTTAAATGTATGTTGACATTCTCTGAAAATTTTTTTTTGCAAACAATATTTCACTTTTTTTTAGCTCTTAGAATGTTTAAAACTTCCTAATCAACATTTCTTTCCCAAATAGGTTATTTTCCAATCCTTCTGCATCACTAAGCTATGAAGTGAGAGATCTCCAACCGTACACAGAGTATGTGTTTCGGTTGGTTGCCTCCAATGGATTTGGCAGTGCACATAGTTCTTGGATTCCATTCATGACCGCAGAGGACAGTAAGTGGTCTGAACAATACGCAGCCAAATGTCTTCTACATTAGGGAGTTAAAATGTCTTCAATTTTTCCAAAGCAAAGAAATGAGCCTCCCCAATTTTTTGTCTTTTAGTGACAATAATCTTTTCCAGGGCAAGCGAGAGTACAAGGGTAATCAGTCTCTCCAGAAAGATAAAAAAACATGATCTTAGACAGTTAGGTCTAACAGACAGGAAGAAGGAATTCACAATAAATTATGATATAGCCCCATGTTATCCTTCAGTGCACTTCTGGGTGCCTTGCAAGAAAAAGGTTGTCATCTTCTGCTCTATGACCGAATATTCTGTTTGGGAGAAATTCTGGCAGGCAGAAAAAAATTAAATATGGACCTTATTTCATGAGGATGATTAGCGCATCAATATACTTGTTCTTGGAAACAGGTTTCATTGTGTTTTTATTCATACCCAGAAGACAGCCTCCAGGATAGAGAAATACAATCTGATAATAGTGACTCTGCATGTATTGCAAGGAATAAGTTGGGATTCCCTTATTCAACCAATAAAGAGAATTTTCTAGCTGTTCACTGAAGAGTTATATTTGCATATGCATGTTTTTGTTAGATTATACTTTGGAATAAATACATGGCTATAATGTATTTACAGTTGTATAATTATTTATATAATTATTTATATAATTTGTGCATGGTTTTCTACAAATTACCTCTATAAAAGCATATGTATGAAAGCATAGTTTTTTAAAGAGAAGTTGGAAATTACATCAAGTTACACAAATGAATGAGGACAATGTATCTTTGAACAATGAGACTTTTAGTGTTAATCTTATCAAGTCTTTTAATCATGAGCTTCTTAGGAGATGCTGCTCTGTTGGCCAGTTGCCATTCTGCCTCTATATCATCAATGAGAACCTGAGTGACTTTCAGAAGACTAGATATTAACACAAAGATATGGTATTTGAAGCAATATCAATTATGTATTAACTAGATTGTTTTATTTTTATAATATCTTTAATTGTATTATTTTAACAAGGATAAGTCATCAAATAAGATTGATTCAGAATAATTTACCCTCTTTAAAGTTGACTTGATTTTTTTAAAAAAACCATTATTAGCAATAATATATAATACTTAATCCATTTCTCCCAATTTATAATTACTCCCTGAGAACAAGTTAGGTAGTTTGCAAGGGCACATCCAGTTTTTGCTCTCAAGGGTATTGCTTAGTAAATTATCAGCACAGTATAAAAAATGCACCCAAAGCCCAGAAAGCATTAATACACACACCTTTTAGGAGGAACATTACATACACTCTGGGGAACCTGATATCATGGTCACCAATTGTACTCAGATTTATGAACTGGAGACCTCACACTCAGAATAAATTTTTGAAGAAACACTTTTTAAAACAACTGAAGATAGATTTTTAATCTCCTTCTTAGATATAGCAGCATGATTGATGGCACTCAACAAAGATTAACATAAATAATAATTCAACCCACCACAGATGTGATAGCTCTATAGAATGCCAGGTTGAAAGGAGGAAAGAGTTTCTCTCTCTCTCTCTCTCTCTCTCTCTCTCTCTCTCTCTCTTTCTTTCTCTGTGTGTGTGTGTGTGTGTGTTTGTGTGTGTATTTTGGCTCCACAAATTTTATTACCACTGATAAAGAATAACACTCAAATCTCCTCAATGGTAATCTGCCCACAGTTCTTATTGAATGAGGGCTATAACCTCCTATCCACAGGCATGAAGGTAGCCCATACATAAAGTCGAAATCATTACAAAATACTAATTAGCACAGAAATCTTTGTTAAGCAAACTTACCTCCCTTCTCCTCTTACTATAAAACAAGTCTTATAGACCATGTGGAGTTAGCATTTTCATACACAGAGGTCCTGCCATATTTGTGATTTTTTTAAGGGCCTGAGTTTGAAGTGAGTAGTATTAACCCTTAATTTTCTTGAAGTAAGAATTAGTAGCATTTGATGATATAGCAGATATCAACTCAAAAAAGTCAGCCATCATTTTTTATTTAAATCCTTTATCTTTCCCTAAGATAGACGAACTCTTTCTTCCTCTGACTTTCATGTACATGATATCACACACATAGAAAAGAACCGGAAGCCAGCCATATGCCCCTCCAGGTTATGTTACCAGTGCACACTCACCCCTAAAATACGGTGACAGTGTACTCTATATTTTGGATGTCAGTGGAAATGGATGCCATCTCTGAAAGGATATGCAATTGAGTTGACAAAAACCGACTGATTGCCATTGGGCGCAAGCAGTTTTTCTGTCGAGGCTACAAAGCATTGCTTATAAAACCACCCATACTGACAGCTCCATGCCAGAATCACACTTCATACTTGATCCTGACCAGCACCTCCTGCTCACCAAAGTGCAATTTGCCATGTAGAAATTTCACATATCATCTTACAGAATGAAACAGAGAAGATACCTCATGCCCACATTTAAATTTCATACCATCAGCAGGTACCTTTCTGCATCAGCCACAAGCTTAAAACTTCCCAGTGCCAAAATGGGTCACCCATGGCAGTATTTTTCGGTGTGATATTTCAAGACAGTGATTTTTCATCAAGGCAGCAAGACAGTTGAAAATGAAAAGAGAAACCTAGGCAGGAAATGAGCTACAGTGAGAGAAGCACGTGCTTGAGTGCAAAGAGAAGTTCTCATGAACAGAGAAAGGGATGTAAGGAATTTTAATAGATTTTTTTTTCAAATAATTTTTCATTTACATCAGTGTGCCACCAATATCCAGTTCCATGCATTTTTAAAAATCTAGTGTGCTGTGCTGATGCCAAATAATAATAATGCACTTTTCCTATGAATATTTTAAATCCTGTTAAATGTGTGTTAATAAAAGATGTTTGTTCCAGCCAACTTGGTCAGTATAGTGTTCGACTATTTGCAACCAGATAAATACAAACAACACACGATTTTTTAAAATGTGCTGCTGACAATCCAAGCACCTGGCATGTCCACAGCTTGCAAAAAATACATTAAGATTGTGTTTGACTTGGAAGCATGTGACTAATAAAATGTTGATACCTTTAAACCTGATGTAGCCATCACTCCTTATTATATTATTGTTCCCTCTCTCTTGTATGTTTACAATTGTTTTCTGTACAGGATGTACATGTAGAAATTGTAGTTGGCAGGGAGGGCAAGTTTCTTTGAACCTCAGCATCAAATGCGGATGTACTCCACTAAACTCTTGCCTGGTGTAAAATATGAGATAAACTACTCTTCCTTAAAACTATGAATTCTCTAGACCAATAAATGCCACATAATCTGTTTCACACAAGGTTTTCCAGGTAAGGAGATTGAAATATGGAATATCTGGTTATTTCAGTCATTTTAATGACAAACATATATAGTGTATACAAGCAATTAGATCAACTAATGAAAATGAAATAGTTTTCTAAAAATCACTTTTCTACCTCCAGAAAAGAAAACCCAAAACAAAAAACTTGAGTTCACAACTGATTAACCTATTTAGCTGTTATATATTTTAAAAATTAGATCATATCTTAAATTTGTAGATTAAAGTTCCACATTTATATTTTTAACCACTAATCTAAGCAGTATTATTAAATAAAATCCATGGAATTTGAACAGTTTATTCTGCAGGTTTAGTTAGACAAGTTTTCATGTGTTCACAATTTTGTCTGCACAGTGAGGTTTTAAGTATACCTAATGACATTTTGATTAATGACAGACAGCCTATATGACAGTGACTCTTACAATTATAATACCGTATTTTACTGTACCTCTTCTATGTTTAGAAATCTCTAATATACTTAATAAATACATACATAAATACTTACCATTGAGTTGCAATTACTTACAGTATTCAGTACAGGTACACACTGTACAGATTTGTGGCTTAGGAGTCATAGGCTATTCCCTATAGCCTAGGTGTGTAGTAGATTGTACCATCTAGGTTTGTGTAAACATATGCTATGGTGTTCACACCACAATGAAATCACCTAATGATGCATTTCTCAGAACATATCACTATTGTTAAGTGACGCATGACTGTACAATTAACATGCTGTATTTTTTTATTGCATTATCTTGCTATTTTTTTGTAAATCTATAATTGCACTGTAAACAGAGGATGGGGACATGAGGAAAATTATCTAGTATCTGGATGCTGCTTTACTCTTCCCTCAGTTATTAGTCTTTCATCTGAAAGCAGTTTACAAAAGAACTGAGGTTTTTCTGACTAAAACAAAAAGACATTGCAATGCCAGTTGAAATCTAGATCCAACAGAACACGTTTCTTCCTCTTGCGTTGCCTGGCATAATTCTGCTCCTTCATCAAGCCTCAGCTCAAATACCACCTTTTCTGTGAAGCCTTCCCTTTTCATTGCTCCCTGAAAATTCTTGTGTTTACTTGTATCACCAATGTGCCCTTCTGAATTGTAACTTCTTAAGACCTGGGGCTCTCTGTATCTTTGTGTTATCAGTGGCTGATAGAGAATCTGGTATAGAGTAGCTGCCCCCAAATTTTTAATTGAGGTACCAATGAAAAAGAGAGTTTGACCTAAGTTAATCCATGATAACCAATAAGGCAAAATAAATTAGCTATCTATTGTGTACCAGGGACTGAAAGAGATATGAAAGTTACAAGGATGAATAACACACTCTTCTTCCCATGAGGCTTCCACTGTCTGGCCAGAGGCATACATAGTAAAGTCATAGAGTGTTCAGAGCCAAGACATTGATGAGACCAAGCCCAGAATAAGGGCACATCCCTCAAGATGAGGTGTCAGGAAAGCCTGCCCAGAGGAGAAGACTAGGGGAGGATATAGAAAACGATTTCTACTTAGTGTTCACTTTTTTTTTTTGAGTTGGAGTCTCACTCTGTGGCCCAGACTGGAGTGTGGCCGCTTCCGGCCACCGCAGCCTCGACCTGCTGGGTTCCGGCGATCCTTCTGCCTCAGCCTTCTGAGCAGCCGGAATTACAGGCATGCGCTACCACG